AAATCACAAAACCTATGTTTATGGAATTTAGGAAAGATTTTAATCTATATATGTTGGATTAAACCATAATTCTTTTCGACCATCTATCTGAACCCGGATACTCATGCCTATACATACTTGTGAATAATCTAACAACATCATAAATTTAAAGCAAAAACGGTTGTCCCGCCCTCTATAAGGGCGGGTCAAAATCTAGTTCCCTTATTATTAATATAGAAGCAAAATTAAATAATAACCTTGTTTTGGTAATATATTTACAAGCCTGTCATGCTGACGTGTCTGCTCCATATACCTCCTCAGCCTACATCTTTAGTTACCCTCTCTTAACTAGACAAATTACAAAGAAATACGATAGTTAACTTACATGTCCCATTATTTACCACTTTTATACCATGTTATAGGCCCTCTTTGGAGTATATTATATATGTCTTGGATGTATTTTAGAATCTTTCTAGGTCCAGGTACATTTTAGAGAATTGTAGAGACTATGAGGTATTCTAGGGCTCAAAGAGAGAGGAACCGCGTAGCTGGTCATATTAAGCTAAGTACGAGTCAAAGCAGAGTATCGCGTCGATCAACGATGCACTTATGCCGTCGATCGACAGTCAACACGCAGAAGCCCAACTCAGCATTTTCGTTTTGGGCCTCAACTGTTTGGGGTTTACTTTATTATATTTTCGTGTGACTATGGGGTTAAGTCCTTTGGGGCCCAACAGGTTGAGACTCCATAGACCTAATTTGGCTTGGTCGAGGAATGAAGTCATTTGTTCTTCTTCTGCGGCGGCTAGGCTTTCTGAATAAATGTGTTAATATCTTTCTCCTTGATCTTTCTTTTTTTTTGTTTTCGTAAACGTATATATCTTATTGTTAGCTTGAGGCATGGCTAATACCTGGTTTTCTTCTCTGATCTGAAGGCGGGCCAGTGTTTTGAATCTCTTCAAGAGTTTCAACGCATGGATAATCAGTTTGAATAATGATTACTTGTATAGATCTTCATTCGATTGGAGGCTTGGTTCCTCTTCTCGGGTTTCTTAAGAACTTTCATGCTAATATCCGAACCAAAGCTGCTGATTTTGTAAGCACGATAGTTCATAACAGCTTTGATTCGCCATAACAAACCAGGAATCACTGCTTTCAAGCATGCCAATGGTTATGCTAGCCTAAGAGATACTTTGGAATCTGATAAGGTGGATGTTCTACACCATCACATGTTTAATTCTATATTATGAGTGCATCCATGTTTAGTTCTTATATATATTAGTCTATAGCGATTCACTTGGTATGTGGCTGGGTCTAAACATGATCATGTTCGATGCAATATGATGATTTACTTGTCATGAGATCCTGTGGTTTTTCTTTTATAGCTGATGATGCGATTGAATCATCGAAATTAGTCTTTGTCTATATTGTTTTTTTTCTAATATTAGTTCAAGTTTCTTCGTGATGGTTTCTGGCAGAAAATGAATGTAAGACAGCCTCATGAGTATCGTCTCAAAGGAAGACTCGGTCGTGTTTTTCCGAATGAGTTTCTTAGGAGTCCATGTATCAAGCACTATAAGTCTTTACTTAAGACTCAAACTCCAGTAAAGGTTGACGGTAGTACGGAGCTTGAAAATCAAGTGGTTAGCTCGAAGGGTTCAGTCATATGCAGCTCTGGTTCAGCGTCTAATCTCAAGAACATGCTACGTGAAGGCTGCTCTCATTCATGTGACCGGGATCAAATCAGCATAGGAGAAGAAGGTATTAGTTATTTCTCCCGCTCTCTCTCTCTCTTGAAATATGTTGTGTTTATTGTTGATTTGTGAACTCAAGTGTTACCTATTTGTCTGATGTTTTTCCACAGGAGAGGTATCTGACAAGAACTTTGTCAACGAAATAACAAAGGGGGAAAGAAGCTCGAAGAAGATGAAGACAGTGAAGATGAGTGGATGGTCGAGTACTTATCAGGTGAATTTCTTTCACCAATTAGTTTGATCATATCAGTACATGTTATCGAGTTTTTGGTCTAATTTATGGTCTTGTATTTCCTGGGCATGTAGGTTGTTCCACTCAGAAAAACTCCTGCAGATATGACGTAACCTGAAGTCTATTTCTAAAGAGGTCGTTACGGCTGGGTATGAGGGAGTGTTTTCTAATATATAGAGTAAAAAAGTCAACTTACTATGGTTTGTTACTACTTACATGTGTCTTCGTCGTATAATCCCTAACTATACATAAGTTGATCATAGTCAACTTACTATGAACAAGTCTTATTATCTGTAAAAGTTGATTACTACATTTTCCAAATAAATTTTTTAATGAATGTGACCTTTGCAGTAATTTAACAAGGATATGATCGAGTTAATAGACCCAAGTAGTAATAACTGAAGACCAAACAAAAAAAAGAACAAATAACAGTATTCCATAAGTTTGTTTTAGCATGACAGGATTCCAATGATTGTAACTTTATATATTTTTACTACAACATATAATCTACTATTTCCTTTCCCACCCAGCAATAGAATTAAATCCGTAACATAATAACTATGGTAGCGATTTCGGAACTATGACGCCTAGAGCTTCTACAATTCTACCAAAGGATGGAGAAATTCATCCTTTTCGTTATGTTATATCACAGCCATTCACAAGCCACCATGTTCAGTCTGCAAGCATCTTCTTCTTCATGACACTTGATTTACTCACCTTTCATTTAAGTTGTTCATTACTATAATAACTTTCTTCTACTACAAGTTGCATGAATTGCTTCTTTTTTTTTTAATCACTGGTTTTATTTCAGATCACCCACAGAGGAGTATAAGAGTCTCAAAAACATAGTTCCGTAGAACATAAAAACATCGAGCTTAAACAGGTAAAAAGAGGAGCCAAAACAGAACTCCCAACCTTCGCTCAACACCCACCAGATTCAGCAGCTACTGATCACTCCTAAACGCTCTCCGTGCTTCCAAATCTAGAATACTTTGCAACTGTAGGAATTCATATCAGTTTATAACGCTTTATAAAACAACCTATGAATTCTATTTGCCTAGAATCTCATGCAAATACTGAAATAAATCTAGATCTTTAGGGTTTTCGAATATACCTGGTTATTCGCAGCGGAAAGATGAATAAAACAGATCGAGGTTTTTAAGCACTCCAAACGTCGTGCCTCTACCGGTATCCAC